ACTTTTGAGAGTTATTTCGATTTAATGGAGATAATTAGAGGTGCTAATGCTATGGTAGCTAAGATTTTTTATTAAGATTTTTCATTTAAAAATATCAACAATGTGGCTAAACCTCCTCAGTATTAAGTATCCTGAATATTCAGGTTCGGTCTATTCTGAAAAATTCTCCTTTTTCAAACCATAAATATATATGTCATAAATGCAGTGGAAAGAAATTTAAACTCACACATCTCAAATTCATAGGAGAAAAGTAGTTCATGGAGCCAAAAATCAAATGTGAAGAAAAGTCAGAAAGTTAAACAAAATACAAATTTTATAGGCTACTCAGAAAACATTAACAGAAAGCTATAACAACAACGAAAAAGGATGATCTCAAACCTTTTTTTAAATAACTATCTTGGACATTCATAGTATCATTTTTCCTTGCAAGAAGGCCTAGATGGAATCTATGATCAACCCTCAACTAATACTACTAAAAAAAATTTTTTTGTTAAATGCTTTCCAAGATCAGGAACAAGACAAGGATGTCTATTCTCATCATTTCTACTCAACTCTGTACTGTAGGTTTTAGCCAGTGTAACAATGCAAGGAAAAGTAATAAAAGGCATCCAGATCAGAAAAAAAGAAGGAAAACTATCTTTATTAGATGACATAATCACTTATGTAGACAATCCTATGGCCCTAGCTGGTTTGGCTCAGTGGATAGAGTGTCAGCCTATGGACTGAAGGGTCCCAGGTTCGATTCCGGTCAAGCGCACATGCCTGGGTTGCGGGCTCGATCCCCAGTAGGGGGCATACAGGAGGTAGCCAATCAATGATTCCCTCTCATCGATGTTTCTATCTCTCTCTCCCTCTCCCTTCCTCTCTGAAATCAGTACAAAAATATATGTTAAAAAAAAAGAAAATCCTATGAAATGTACAAAAAAGCTACTAGAACTAAGAGTGTAATAAAACTATATGATTTAAATACAAAATTTAATCATATTTATATACTATCAATGCAAATATTAAAATTGAAGTACTTTTAATATTTACAGGTAAATTTATTTTAAAATTTGCAAGACCAATACACTGAAACAACACATATTGCTGAGAGACAGTAAAGATCTAAATAAATGGAAAAATATATAGTCTTCATGGATTAAAACATTCAATATATTGTTAAGATGTCATTTTTCCTCAAACTGATTTATAGATTCAACATGATCCAAATAAAAATTCTAGCCAGCATTTTTATTAAAATTGATAAAATGATTCTGAAATTCACATGGAAATTAAAGGAACCTATAGGTTAGCCAAAACAACTTTGAGGAAGAACAAAGTTGGAGGATTTATACTACCTGACTGCATGACTTATTATAAAGCTACATTAAGATAATGTTTGTATTGGTGGGAGTAAATATATGCAAATTGCATACCTGATAAAGGACTTATATCCACAAAATACAAAGAATGCTCAAAACTCAACAGTAAGGAAACAAAAAAGCAAGTTTAAAATGGCAAGATTGGAACACACACTTCACTAGAGATGTGCAGATGGCAAAGAAGCACATGAGAAGATGCAAATTAATACTACAAATACCACCACATACCTACAAGAATGGCTAAACTTAAAAAGACTGACCAAATGTTGATGAGGATGTGGAGGAACTAGCACTCTCACATCCTGCTGGTGGGAAAATAGGTTGGTAACTTCTTAAACATACAACTGTCATAACGCAGCCATTCCCATCTTAGGTATTTACCAATGAGAAATGAAACTATATATCCATACAGAGACTTGTATACTAATGTTCACAGTAGTTTTATTTTAAACAGCCAAAAAGCAGAAACAACCCAAGTGTCCATCAACAGGTGAAAGAATAAAAAGATTGTGCACTAACCACATAATAAAATATTACTCAGCAATAAAAAGGATTGAACTACTGATAAGTGGAACAACATGGATGAATCCCAAAATAATTATGCTGAGAGAAAAGCCAAGAAGGGTGGGGCACAGAATTCTGTATGATTTCCCTTATATAAAACTAGAGGCCCAGTGCATGAAATTCATGCATGGGGGTGGGTGGGGGGGGCCCCTCAGCCCAGCCTGCACCCTCTCCAATCCGGGACATCTCTCTCGCAATCCGGGACCGCTGGCTCCTAACCACTTGCCTGCCTGCCTGCCTGATCGCCCCTAACCGCCTCTGCCTGCCAGCCTAATGCCCCTAACTGCTCCCCTGCCAACCTGATCGCCCCTAACTGCCTCTGCCTGGCCCCTGCCACCATGGCTTTGCCCAGAAGGACATCCAGAAGATGTCCAGTCTAATTAGCATATTACCCTTTTATTAGTATAGACTAGAGGCCTGATGCACAGACTCATGCACCGGTGGAGTCCCTTGGCCTGGCCTGCACCCTCTCGCAATCCGGGACCCCTTGGGATATGTCAGAGAGCCGATTTCAGCCCAATCCCCATAGGCCAGGGCGAGGTACCCCCGTGCACCAGGCCTCTAGTACACATATAAGACCTTTGGTTAATCTCTTCCCGCCCTCCCCCTCCCCCTTCCCTCTGAAATTCATCAGTCTGTTCCATGTTTCCATTGAGCATCTGCCCCCTGGTGGTCAGTGCACATCATAGCTACCAGCCGGTTGCTTAGGCTTTTATATATAGAGACTAGAGGCCCAGTGCACAAAAATTTGTGCACTCGGGAGGGGAGGGGGGTCCCCCAGCCCGGCCTGTGCCCTCTCGCAGTCTGGGACCCCTTGGGAGATAACGACTTGCTGGCTTAGGCCTGCTCCCGGGTGGCAGAGGGCAGGCCCAATCCCTAGGTGCAGCCCCTGGTGGGGCTCAGAGCAGGGCCGATTGGGGAGTTGGGGCGCCGCCCCGTCATGCACAGAGCAGGGCAGATTGGGAGGTTGCAATTCCACCCTCAGTCACGCTCAGGGTAGGGCCGACTGGGGGGTTGGGGCACCGCACCCTGTCACACACAGAGCTGCAGGGCGATCAAGGGGTTGGGGAGCTCCCCCCTGTCACACACAGAGCCACAGGGC